AGGGTTAGGCATGTTTTAAGTCTCAGGATGTGTGTTACGGCGTGTTTAAACACAGCCCTTAAAGGCCTGTGTTAGCCTCGTCTCCCCGGCATGGCTGTTACGAAGTTACCCATTATAGGCAAGGTCGTCACCCACTGGCGGCTGGGGGTTTGGTGAGCTATTGGTCTGAGCAAGTGGTTTTTAAACCTGCCAAGTTGTTGAAGGTTTTAAGAGCATTCTCATGTACATTTTCCCATTGTAACGGACACTTCCTCCTCAGAGCCTCTCAAAGCATCAGGAAAGGTAGAGGCAGGTGGATGTTGGGGGCTGGAAGGACCTCCAGGACAGGAACTTGGCGTCCCAGTGCTGCCTCTTCTTCACTGGGAGAACTAAGAGCCAGACAGCAGTTCCTGTCTCTATGCCTCAGTTTCTCATATGAAAATGGTCAACTGAATCAACTCAAGAGCCCTTCTTGCTTTAAAGGACACGATTTGATTATCCTTGTGTGACAAATGGCAACTGCAGTGTGAGTGGGCATTGGGTGGATATCCATCATGGGTGCACATCAGGAGAGCCCGGCTCATGTTCCAGACGGGGGACTCCCCGGGACACCTGTGTGCCTCAGATGGGTGCGTCTTCATCGTGAGTTTGTCAGGTGTGTGTTCAGACGAACTGGTCGGTATCTACTTGCCTGCGGACAGTGAGGGTTTTTGTAGCAGCTTCTGAGGCAAAACTGAATTGGAAGAATATCCTGCCTTTGAGCTAATTACAAATCTGACTTTTAGAAAGTTTCTAGAAGAGTTTTGGGGCCCTTTGGTGGTTGATCTCAAGGCCTCCTAACCCTGGGAGCAAAGCTCAAGCCTCGCTTGATTTGAAGAGCTGCCAGGGTCTGCCAGAGGGAGGAGGCATGAATAATTTGCAGCGCACACAAGGTTACCAGGATACTCACCGGAGAAAGTGCTGATAAACGGCTTGCTTTCTTAAGCCTCATTTATAAGATGAATTCCCTTAGATCATCCTAACCTCTGAATTACTCCAAACTTAGGCGGTCTGTGTTAAAGAGTACAGCATTCAGCCAAATACTTAACATCTGCTTTGTCCAGACATGAAGGCACAGAGAGATGAAGTCACTTGCCCAAGGTCACACAGCTACAGATTCATGTAATGAATCCAGACATTCTGGCTCCAGAAACAGTACTTGTCCAAGGGAGACTGGAAAGAAACAGGTCAATTATAATTATTATATTGTGGGAAGTTGTACAGCAGGTGCCATCCTCCAGAACTTTTCTGCAGTGATGGGAATGCTCTGTAGTTGTGCTGTTCACTGTGGTAGCCCCATGTGGCTATGGAGCCCTTGAAGTGGCCAGTGCCACTGAAGGACTGAATTCTTTGTATTTTTAAATTTGAACAAATTTAAATTAAATTCGAATAGCCACATGTGGCTCGTGGCTACCATATTGAATAGCACGGATTGAGAGACTTGAGATCTAGGGGATGGTTCAGGGAGGGCTTCCTGGAAGAAGAGCCATCAAAGTTGAAATCTGAAGGATAGCTGGGAGGTCGTGGCTGCTCCAGCAGGTCTGGAGGTGAGAGAGAGTGAGTGGCTTGGGGCACATGAAGCGGGGCACAGCTAGTGGAAGGGGCAGGGGACGGGGCGGGGAGGGGGGAAGAGCCCGATTGATGAAGGTCCCACAAGCCATTTTTAAGGTGCTTGGACTTCCCCCTGAGGGATGTGGGATATTAAAGGGCTTTGGCAGGGACCCTGCGGGCCCAGATTTTGGTTTTGGGACGTGTCACGGGAGGACCCGGAAGTGAGGGAGGCAGGGATACCCCGGAGCTGGCCGAGGCTGGACAGAAAGTTCTGGAAGGAGACTTTGAAGGACTGGGGGAGTGAGGGAGAGAGGAGTCAGGGGTGCTGCCCTTGGGAATCTCAAGTGTGGCATTAGGCGGTGGAGGCAGAAGGCATGCATCCCTGCCCGTGGGGGTCCCACACCCCTGTGCGCAAATTCTAAACCTCTGCAGGAAGGCCCACAGACAGGGATGGATGGAAACCCACCTGTGGTTGCTGAACACCACTAATGTCTGGCCCCTGCCTCCCTCGCTTCCAGGCCATCCGAAGGAGGCCGGAAAGGAACTTGCCTGCCTCCCGCCCTGAGTCCACCCTCAGCATCCTACCCACCTTGCCATTCCGATTTCCAGAGGCCCCACATGGGCCTCCCTTCCACCATCCCTGAGCACTGAAAGATTCCCCCGTCCCCCGGGGGGGAGAGGACTATGAAAATGGTTCTGATTGGGACGCCTGGGTGGTTCAGATGGTTAAGCATCTGCCTTCGGCTCAGGTCATGATCTCGGTGTCCTGGGATCGAGCCCCACATCAGGCTGCCTGCTCAGCGGAGAGTCTGCTTCTTCCTCTCCCTCTGCTTGTGCTCTGTCTCTCTCTCTCTCAAAATGAATAAATAAAATCTTAAAAAAAAATGGTTCTGATCACCTGGCTCCTGGCTCCTAAGCCGAATGATTTCCAGAGACCTCTTTGAAGCCACACAACAACCCTTGCTTTTCTAATAGGAGACTGAGGCCTGAATGCCAGGCCATGCAGCAGGAGCAGAGCAGAGACAAACAAGCACTCCCCTTCTCCTGAGCTGTGACCCAGAGCTGTCAACCCTGTGCCTGCTGCTGAGCTTAGCATGGGGTTGGGGGGAACACATCCAAGCCCCCTGCACAAGCTCAGGCAGCAATGCCAAGCCCACCAGAAGGAACCCCTGAGGCCCCACCCTCTGGTTTCTGAATCTGACCCATGTAGGGGATTAAGTTAGGGAATGCCCGGTTCTGTGACATCTTTGAAAAACAGTATTTTAGCTGGGAGCATGCGCAGATGACCACTTCCCTTCCTGGGTGCCAGGGAGAATTCTGTTCAGGGTGCGGGCGTCTGAGAATGTCAGGTGATCTTTCAAGGCAAAAACCTCCCAAGTTTCCCCGAGTGGGGACTGACTTCATCCCTAAAGCGTGCATACAGGCCCCCCCCACACACACACACTGCCCATGGGCTTGGCGATTGGGCAGCTTGTCCCAAGGCCCGCTCGCTCATCAGGAGCCAAAGCCTTAAAAATAGGCCGCCACTTGACCTGGTGATTCTGTACTTAGGAATCTCTCTTGTGGGGAATAATCACAGAGATGTGTCACTTGAGCCTCAAGGATGTTCATCACGTTGTTGTTTAGGACAGCAAAAAATATTTAGCAACCTAAATGCCCAGCGCTTGGGGATTGGTCCCATGAATGGCGCTGAGTCCATCCAGTGGGATCTTCTTCAGCCATTTAAAGCTGAGGATCTGGATGAAGTGACCCAGGGGAAATTCCAGGCAGGACTGTGCCAGAGTATTGTCCATGGGTGACGGGTATTTTTAAAGGCTTTCTCTGTGCGTTTCTAGGATTTCTAAATGTTGTACAACAAACACATGTTCTTTTGGTGACTAGAGAAAGCATTCTGTGGGCAGTGAGTGGTGTTGGGGTTGTTTGGACATTAAGCTGTTATTGGGGTCCTCGAGCGTGGCCGTTTACCAGAGGCGGCTGAGGGTTTAATTCTGAATTCCTGTCCTTGCACACACCGCTCCCACGGCACCCCCTTGAGCATCCCGGGGTACACAAGTATCCCCAAACGGTTCGTTCCCCTGGACCACACAGGCTTGTTCCACCAAAAACGGTTTGTAGAAGCTGCGAAAAGGCGTGGAGTGTGAGCAAAGATGATAGAACATCCCGACCTCGTGCTAAGTTACAGACTCTCAGGGGCTTCGTCTGTGCCGTGACACCCCCCGCCTACCACCAAGCCCAGTTCCCTGGTGCCTGGCACATAGTAAGCACTCAGTAAATTTCTATGGAGTAAATAACTTTGATGTCGAACTTTACCTGGTACAACAGTGAGTCCAGGGTAGGCAGGAAGAGCTCAGCGTGGGGAGAGATCACTGGGTTGTAATGGTTTTGACCAAGAGGATGGGTAAGGAAGAGGGAGGGGCGCAAGCAAACCCGCAGAGGCTGGGATGTGTGAGGAGGTCAGGGAGGGTGGGAGGAAGGGTTTGTTTGGGGTGGGGTGGGAGATGGGACTGGAGAGGAAATTTGGGGCTCAACTACAAGGGCTATTGGATTTCTGCTGGAGGACAATAGGGAGCCATTGAAGGTTGTTGAGCAGGGAGTGGGCTTTTAATTCGCCGAAAGTGAGCAAGGTAGGGAAGCCAGCAGTTCAGACATTTAATGGAGCTCCGTGGCTGCCCACGCTGTGCCAGAGCTCCTTCCAAGTGCCCCGGGCAAGGGCACAGGCAGCAACTGAGCAGGCAGTGACAGCCGAGGGACCCCAGGTTGCCTGGGGTGCAGTGGTTACTGGTTTGGACGTGGACCCAAGCGTCCTGTCCGGGTTTGAGGTCTGCTTCGCCATGCACTGGCTATTTGGTTTGGGACATGTCTCTTCACCAATCTGAGCCTCAATGTTCTCATCTGGAAAATGGGATTGTAATAAGGATGGCCATGGAACTTCAGTTCAGTGAGGTGGTGTGCAAACAGCTTGGTCGACGCTGGGCACAGTTAAATGCTCCGTGGATGCTGTGTTGGAAGCATGGTGGTGGTGGGGACCCGGGGGCGGGGGACAGCTGAGGGAGTGCCCTAACCAGGTGGACAAGTCCTGGGAGACCCAAGATGGAGAGAAGATGGTCCTTCATGCGGTGCTAGGCGGACAGAGGGGCACTGAGGATGGGCAGCATGGTGCCCAGCAGGACCCTGCACGGGTGATGCCTTCATCCCAGCTTGCTTGCCTTGAACACCGACCGCCCTGCCTCCTGTGGTGTCTTGGGCACATTGGGACAGTTGGTCACCCTAATGCCCACCCCAGACGTCTGCACCGGCCTCTGAGCACAGTAGAGAGCTGGGGCGGGTTTGAGCCGGGGGCAGTGCCGTGTGATCTGCGTCAGCCGGGGGACCAGGTTCTGCGCATTTTCTTCCCCTGATGGAAATCTCTCCTCTCTGGCTTGTCTCTGCAGGACCAGCTGAAGCAGTGTTTCTCCAGGCGGCCCCCTGAGGCCAAGGATACCGACACCCTCGTGCAGGAAGCTGACAGCCAGTATGGGACATGGACGGACCAGCGCCAGAGCCGGGAGAGGTAGGGCCTGCGGGGCTCCGGGCTGCAGGGTGGGGCGTCTGGATGGAAGGCAGCATGGCCCACGTGCCCCCCCATTTCTGTATCCCTCGAACCCACATCGTCTGTAGGTAGCAGCGTAATCCATTCTTGTCTGAAAAAAATTGAGAAAGTACAAAAAAATTATTTTAAAAGGATATACGAAATGTCCAAAATAGGTAAATCCATAGAGACGGAGAGTAGATTAGTTGCCAGGGGCTGGGGGGTTGGGGGGGACGGGGGTTAAGTACCAGGCTTCCTTTTGGGCAGATGTCCTAGAACTATATCATGATAATGCCTGCACCACACCTTCAATGTGCTCAACGTCACTGATAGTCAACTTTACGTTGTGTGTATTTGACCATGATGAAAGGAAGTACAAAGAAAATGAAAACTACCTGTAACCCCAGCACACGGGTCATTAACGAAGGCACTGATGCTTTTTGCTACATGTCTGTCTAGACTTTTTTTTTTTTTTCAGTAAGTCTGTGTGTGTTTATAAACAGAGGAGCATGCCCCACATGTGGCTTCATAAGCTGTGTCTTGCATTTAACATCACCCCAGTTGGTGGCTCGTAGGGCCCTCAGATGTCTGCCTGATACAGGAGGCAGGCAGCTCAGAATCCCAGCTCCACCCTAGCTGCCGATGGGACTCTGGGTAACTGAGTTATATGCCTTCCAGAGTTGACGTTCCTCCTCTGTGGGAAGGGAATGATGCTTGTAAAAACAGTCGGGGTTTACTGAGCGTACGTGCCAAGCACTGTTGTAAGTACGTAAATGTATTAACGTCTAATCCTGTTGCCCCATCTTGCAGAGGTGAAGGCTGAGGCACCCCACCACACGGGGTTGTTGGGAGGGGAACCTGTGGGCAATTAGCATATTTCCTGGCACATAGTAGGAGCACCTGCTCATGGCCCCGTTCATTGTTTTAAAAATACAATTTTTCTTCTCCCCCTGGGGCAGGATCGAGCACAGGAGTGGCTTCGTGGTGGACACATGGGGTGGACACTGCCGTGTTCTCAGCTCACGTCTTCCCTAGCCTAGGGCCCCAGGATCACGTGGTCACACTACCCCGGTCAGGGTTGCATGGTCTTTTGAAGTCAGAGAGACCTGGGTTGCCTCCGGCGTGGCCCTGTGCTGGGCCGTGTCTCTGTGTGACTCGGTTTCCTCGCCTGTGGTTGGTATGCCCAGGGATCGGGCACACTCAGCCCCAGGTCCCCCACCTGCTTCCCCTGCGCTCCCAGCCGGGAGTGGTCATCATAAGCCTCTACTGGGTTATGTCCCACAGCTGACGATGTGAAAGTCGGATGGAGGTGGATGGAACTGAAAATGGGTACGAAGAAGACAAAGGGAAGCAAAGGTTTCTTGTAGTACCCGTGAAAGCCTTTTCTCGCTGAACCCGTGACATGGGTGCCGTTAATGAGCGTTCTTAAATGTCACTAGACTTCACTTAGATTTCCTGCAAGAGCCCTCTGGACTCTGAGTCCGGAAGCCTGCGTCTCGGTTTTGCCCCCTTCCGGGGCCTCCATTCCCCCCCAAGCTGGCCTCTGGGACCTGGGGCCGCTCCTCGTGGGGGGTGGGCGCCCCCTTTTGTTCCCCGGAGGTACTGCAGCGCCCCCCTCCCCGGCCCGTCCAGCAGCCGCGCGTCCTCAGCCCTGGCCAGCAGCGCCATCTGCTGCCTCCTCGGTGGTATTTCCCTCTTGTCTGGGGGGGGGAGGGGTGGGGGGAGGTTGCTTCAGTCCCACCCCGCACCCCCACAACCTGCCTGTTCCAAGTAATAAAATCATCCCAGGGCGGACAGAGCGTGGGTGTGCTCCCGCCTTGAAGCACCAGGATAGGTTCTGGGCAGGAGTGCAGCCCCGGTGGCTTCCAGGGGAGACCCTCCTATCAGGAGGTGGTGTCCTGTGCCCGGCTGCCCTTCCTCAGGGTTGGCTCTCCCATGCTCTTGACTTTGGTGTCTTTTTAATGGGGGGTGCTTTTTAGCTTAATGACTTATTTTTACATATATAACTTCCTGAGGCTAATCCTACCTGATAGCATTATGGTGGCCGTAGTAGGACTGGGGAGAAGATTCAGTGACTCAGTGGGTAGCAGTGCCTAGCACATAGTAAGTGCTCAGTAAATCTTGACTGAATGCATGCATGAATGAATGGAACCATGCAGAAAGTTCCCCTGCTTCCTGCTGTACCACAAGGGACTGCTGGTGATTTTTTGATCGATGTCAGCGCTGTCCAACAGAAATACAACTCAAGCCGCAAACACGAGGTGTGGGTCATTTAAGATGTCCCAGGAGCCACCTCAAAAGAGTAAAAAAAAAACATCTTAACAATTTAATTTAAATAACAATATTTTAGTGAATCCAGATTTGAAATATTATTAGTTCAACATGCATCAGTATTTTATATTCTCTTTCTTTTTTTCTTTTTTTCCAAAGTCGTGGGAATCCAGTGTGGACTCTATACCCTGGGCTCACACTCGCCACATGGCAAGGGCCCAGTCGCCATGTGTGCCCAGTGTCTCCAGCCCTCCTGCCCAGGGCAGGGTTGGAGGGTCTGGAATGGGACCAGACCGGCTCCTCCCATTCCATCCCTGTCCAGGTGTTCTGGAAGCACCACGAACAGCGCCAGGCTTGCCCAGAAAGGACATACCCTACAGGACTGTCCTGTGTCTTAGAAAGCACAGCCTGAACCTGCTTTCTGCACCTCCTCTACTTGAAATTCAGTTCTGTGCAACCACCTGCACAAATGATGTCTCCCTTCCTTCTTTTCTCGTAGTCTGGCCCCCGAGTCCCCGTCCCCAGACAGCAGTGCCGTGTCGGCCCGGAAGCAGCTCCCCAGCAGCCGCTTGTCCTCACTGTCCTCCCAAACGGAGGCCACCTCAGCCGGGGACCAGCACAGCTGCTCCAGGGACCAGCGGAGCACCAGCGTGGACCGATCCAGCACCGATTTGGAATCCACCGATGGGATGGAGGGGCTGCCTCCGCCAGACCCCTGCCCCTCGAAGAGGGTGGACGACTTCTCCTTCATTGATGTAAGTCCGTAACTGGGAGCGTGTGTTGGAAAGAGTCCTTTCTTCTTAAAGGGATGCTCTGGCATCTCCCAGTGGGTGGCCCCTCTCAGGGGTAGAATCTGTGTGCCAGGGACCCCTGTGGTGGGTGCAGAGGGAACAGTCTTTGCAATGGGACTGATGTCTGCGTGTAGCTTGCACCTGCCACACACCAGCTGTGTGTCTTGGGGCACATGCCTTCACCTCTCTGAGCCTTGGCTTCCTCACCCACTGATAACCAGCACAGTGGGCTCCACGACCTCAAATATAATCACATGGGTTCAAATTAAAACTGATCCTAGCCCCCACCTGTTAGGTAAGCAGGAAGTCTGGTGCCTCATCTCCGGGGGGTTGGGGGACAGTTGTGGGGGTGGGCTGCCTGAGGTTTGCAATTCCAGGCGTGCAGAGTCTGGAGTTTTGCTCAGACCCATTCTGCTGGCTGTTCTCACCAAGGTCTTGCTTGGCAGGACGTGTCTCTGATGCCCACGGATCCAAGTCTCTCTGTAAATGGGTAGTGGCAGCTCCGGGAAGGGGGACCCTTCAGGCATAGATAGCCCTCACGTGGGTCCCCAGGGGCGACCCCTAGAGCTCAGCTCTTCTAGGTCCCAAGCAGAACCAGCCTCCCAGCTGCCAGTCGCCCAGGCCCAATGGCATTCTGCTCTAGCCCCTTCCAGACCAGTACCTGTCCTCCTTCCTCCTGCACGGGCCCCACCTGCAGGGGGCAGGCACGGTTTCCTTTTCAATCCTCAAAGTCCCATTATTCTGCCCCCTGACAGTAGTGCTACCTGCCCCCAGCCCACCGTCCTGTGGATGCATCGTCTAAATGGTGCAGAACCTAAAAGCAACCCACTCTCCTGGCAGTAAAGCCTCATGCCCACACCCTTAGGGATGGCTACCCAGATTCCCCCCCAGAGAAGGAACCGCCAGTGCTTTGGGAGAAGGGGCTTCCTCTGAATCCTCAAAGGGAATTCCCCCTTCTAAGTACAGTCGGGGTCTCTTGCTGGCACCTCTGGATTAAGGGCAGAGATGGGGAAAGACACAAGTTTGGTCTCCCTTGGGCCACCCCATTATATAAACATGCACATGGTGTGGGTTGGAAGGATTCAGTTAGGTGATGTGTTCAGGTATTCATTCAACAGACATGTGCCAAGCTCGAGCTGTGTGCCAAGCGTGGCTGTAGCTTACGTGCTTATATGATGTCCCCGGGCCATGGTACAATCCGCCGGACTTACCTTTTAGAACACTAAGCCGTTCTTTCTCAGGGTCCATTATAAATACCAACAGCGGTGTCAACAGCCACCAGTCCCCGAGTGGTGAGACTGCTCATAGGCCAGTAGCCCAGGAGGCAAAAATTCCTGCCCCATCCTGCAGATGGGAGAACCAACGTGGCCATTGGGTGACTCAAATGTGAGTGTCCCCAATCCCAGGTCTGGCTGCTTATTTATCACGTACTTAAGTCTACGGGCACTGCCCACCAGAACTGGGGGCTCCCGCGGGGACCGTTTGGCGGCTGAAAGGAAAGCTGAGGCACCAAGGCATCCGGGCCCTGCCCCAGCCTGTGGCCAAGGGGTAGCCCTGGGGAAACAGACCCAACTGCCCTGCAAGCCAGCTCCTTCCTCCCCCTTTCTCTGAGTCTGAAAAACTGGATCCGAGAAGTGATCCCCCAGTTTGGGACTTCCGCCCCCCCCATCAGCTCGCCCCACTGGCTGCCATTGTGACCACTTCCGGAAGAAGCTGCACAAACATCAGCTTCCTTCTCCCGCGCCCAGTGTGGTGTCTGCCGCTTACCAACTGGTGGGAAATGATTCACTGAAATTAGCCCATCATCATCGCTCCTTGAAAAGGCCTTGGCTGACGGAGCTTCTCCACAGCAGACCCGAGAGGGAGGACCCCACATTTCAGGCGCGCACAGGAGATGGCCGGTAACAGCTCCTGCCTGTGTCAGCCTTGGTCAGACGCTGTCTCAAACCAGGACTTGCCCCGCCCGGACTCATGAATTCTCTCGACGACCATGGGTGGCAGGTACTCCTGTGACCCCCTTTTCTCCAAAGAGGGGCACCTCAGGGAGGTGAAGTCCGTGGCTCGAGCTGACACACCTAGGATTTGAACCGAGTGGAATTTGAACGCAGAGCTCTAAGTTCTTCGCCACCATCCCCCCGGGCGATTGCTGGGCCAGGGGCTGCCCCACCTCCTGGCTGGGCCCACCTGGCTGGTGTGCCTCCCTGACACCTTTCGTCACTCAGTCACCGACTGTCCACCTGCCTCTGCTCAGAGTGTGATGCTTGTAGGCAAAGGCTTGGTGCAAGTGCATTGCTCTGTACCCTCTACCTGCCCCCCAATTATTGTGGGTGGAGGGGGACCGCACTGAGGATGCCCCAGCTCCCGGGCCCCGTATGAATAGGGTTCCCGTGAGGATTTAGTTAGATGATGTATTCAGTTATTCATTCAGCGAGCATACAAACACTGATTGGGCCCCTGCTGTATACCGAGCACTGTTCCAGCTTCCATGCTCCTATGTCACCAGGGGGGAAAAGGCATTTTCATTCACGTCCACTGTGGGGCTGTGCCAGGGCCTTCAAGGCTCGTATGATCATTGTAACCAGCCTACGTGGTATGTTTCGCAGAGAAATGGGGGCTTACAGTGTTGAGGTGCCCATAAAAATGTGAAGATGTTGGGCCACATACCACCCAGACAGCATCTCATGCGTCAGGGAAGCTCCCGTGGGTGGCGCCCTCAACTAATGGTTCCCTTTGCTCTCTCCCTCTTCCTGCCTGCCACTCCCAAAGCAAACCTCAGTCCTCGACTCAAGTGCCCTCAAGACCCGGGTGCAGCTCAGCAAGAGAAGCCGCCGCCGGGCTCCCATCTCCCACTCCCTCCGGCGCAGCCGAGTTAGTGAGTCGGAGAGCAGGTCTCCTTTGGAGGAGGAGGCTGACAATGTGTGGATGTTCAAGGACTCAACAGGTACACCGTGCCCTCCCTCCTCCACAGATGCCACACTGAACAGCAGGACAGATTTAGGTTAGACACCAAGAAGAACTTCCTGACTTTGTAGGATGTTAGAAGGCAGTTACATAGGAACCTGTGCTCTCTTATTCTACAGACCTTATTAGAAATTAGGTGAAAAAGGTTTTTTTCAGGATGATATATTCACTGGGGCTCCACGGGTTGTCAGGGACAGAGATACAACTTAATAGGTTTTTGCTGTTTCTGCCTTTACCCTTACTAAAATCACTGATACTTCCTTGAGGTTTGTTTGCGGGTCTTTGCCCAGATTCTCGAGGTGAAAGATCAGTTCTATTTATCATCAGTCCTTATGTTTCCAATGAATTATTTTAAGGCTACTCATTTTCCTTCAAGGACTTCTTTGGCTGAGTCCTATGTCAAAACCTGAACTGAATCTCAAAGAGCCAATAGGCATCAGCCAGGGAAGGGTATTCCATACAGAACAGTGGGCTCAAAGGGGCAGGTGTGCGGGAAGCCCATCTCTGTGCGCGGCAGAGGCCTCTCTAAGCAGTTCAGGGCTGCTCAAGCCGGGAATAGCAGGGGGTCGTGCCGGAAAGGTGGGCGCAGGGGTCATGCCGGAAAGGTGGGCGCAGGGGTCGTGCCGGAAAGGTGGGCGGAGGCCTGCTCATGGACAGTCGTGATTCCTTGCTAAGGAGTTCGACTTTGTGGATGGGGACACATGGAGGAGTGTTAAGAAGCAAAATCTCCTCTTGGAAACTGTAGCAGGTGACCTCCCTGCTCTGCACATACGCAGCGGTGTGTCCCCCCAAACACTCGCAGGGCCTTTGTTCACGTGGGGTTTGCCCTCTCCTACCTCATGTTTATTATTCCCTCTCCTACCTCGTGTTTATTATTATTATTATTATTTTAAAGATTTTATTTATTTGCGATAGGATGAGAGAGAGCAGGCACAGAGGGAGAGGGAGAGGGAGAGGCAGACTCCCCGCTGAGCAGGGAGCCCGATGCAGGGCTCGATCCCAGGACCCCAAGATCGTGATCTGAGCCGAAGGCAGCCACTTAACCGACTGAGCCACCCCGGCGCCCCCCCTCATGTTTATTATTAAAGGAAGTGTTTAAATGCCTTGATTGAGACCTCTGCACACTCTTTGGGTTTTCTGAGCCAAATTCCACCCAGCTGCCTGGAGCAAATAAAAACCAGCATGGGGACAGAATCACACCAGTACCCCCAGCTGGAACGTGGCAGCAGCCCTCTGGTTCCCAGCAGCCTCAAGGAACCGGCCTGAGGCTGGGGAAGGCCTGGGGGTATGCTTTCTGAACACACCCCAGTTCCCTGCATGGCCTAGGGGCTCCAGGGGAGCAGGCCTTGCCCGGCTCCTCCTCGTCCATCCCCACGTCCTCCCTGCGCTCCTCACTGCGCCCAAGCCCGGGCCAGGGCCTCCGGGAGGCTGAAACTCCTCACCCCACACTCCCGGAGGAGTGGGGACAAACGGTCCATGTCGCCAAAGTCTCTCCTGTGAGGCTGGAACGTGGCAATGGAGTGAAGTCCCAGAAATGGGGACTCTGGCGAAGGGAAGTGGCTTCTGGTCAGGCCTTCCACGAGACACACAAAGCCCTCCACGCCCTCTTCCGAGACCACCAGCCCCGTGCGTTGCTGGCTGAAGGCGTTTCTGTCTCCTTGCCTCTCTGCCAAAGACTTCCTTCTCTTTCCCTGACTGGGAAGGAGCCAGGAGCCAGGAGGAGGGGTTCTGTCTGTGCCTTCTCCCAGGAGAACATCCGTCATACCGCGTTGTCAGCCATGAGGAACCTGAGTTTGTCCTCGTTCATAAAACGGGCCAGTGACGACTTCCGGGCTGGGCTGGCGCGAGGGCTGCATGAGGGACTGTGTGCAGAGGATCCGGTGGCCGCCAGTGACGTCAGTGCTCTTTTCTTTGCCACAGAAGAGAAATCTCCCAGGAGGCAAGAGTCCGATGAGGAGGAGGAGAAGCCCTCCAGGGCTGAGAGGACCCCCACCAGCCATCCGCAGAGGATGCCTGTGTTTCCAGGCATGGACCCGGCAGTGCTAAAGGTACCGAGCTTCACACCCAGAGCTACCCTCAACCTTGGCAGCGAGGAGAACAGGCCCCATGTGTCCTTCCCTCCCTCCCTCCCTCTCTCCTTCCTCCCTCTTTTCCCTCCCTCCTTCCCTCCCCTCCAGTTTTGAAACAGTTCAACTCACAAGAAGTTGCAGAAATAGTGCAGGGGGTCGGCATGCGCGCCCCACCCAGCTTCCCCCAGTAATACCCCACATGGCCACAGTACCTGCCATTTTTTGCAAGACTAAAAAGTCAGTAAACAGCACACGCACACCTGTCCCTGTGGCTGATTTATAAACCTGCCAAATGGGACCGTCTGGCGGCCGCTGCCCTAGGCCAGGGGTTTCCTGCCTTTCGTTTCCAGCGTCGGAACAAATGCTGTGTCACAGGGCAGCCCAGCACAGCAGGCTGCGAAGGCGTGGGCTCCAGGCAGGTGCCCCATGGAACTCCCGAGGCTGGTCCTTGGGTCCCTGGACACCGCTCAGATCCCCCGCACGCTGTCGAGATGAGGCTCCTGTGACTCGTTTGCTACGGTTAGCGTGAGCTCCTTGAACCTGGGGGCAGCCACGCCTGCTCCCATTGGGCAACGCTCAGCTGTCAGCAACAGTCGGGGGAGGCTACTGGGCTCATTCTGGAAGGAGCCCTGGGGTTGGGTTGGGCAGACCCAGGGTGAATCCCAGGTCTTGAAAACTGTGTGCCTCTAGGCACACTGCTTGATCTTTGACGTTGAGGCTACTCCTCTGTAAAATGGGGAAAGCCAGCCTCTACTTCTGGCTGATGTGTGTCACATAGGTTAGGCCTGGTCGCCAAACGGCGGGTGCTCGGTGCACAGAGGTGTCAGGCGGACAGTGGTGATGGGGGCCGTCCAGCGTTGCCTCGGAGACACCTGTCACCTGCCACCATCACACCCCTGGGTCCCCAGGGGAACTCTGTGAACATCATACTGTCATCCCATTCCCGACCATAGCCCGCCCAAAATGGGGGAAATCTGCCCTGCCTTTTTCCTGTGGGAACGTGATAGTCAAAATCTCATTATATCCATGTGGACACAGAACCAAGAAGCTTCGCAGAGCTGAGTGTCATCTGCAAGATGGGGCCGTTACCTCCATGCCAGGGTTCTTGGGAAGTGAACGGAGACAGAACATCCTGTCCCAAGAGCATACACATGGTGGCTTTTCCATCAAAGAGGAGATGACAGGATTGTGTGGGGTTTTGGTGGTGGTTCTTTGATCCTAGTGGCCAAGGGTAACTGTGTAGACTACCCGCCTGGCCTCCGATTTCTCTTAGCCTCCAAAGTCAGGCGGCATCTCCCCCACCCCTGTGTTTCCTGCCTGGGTCCAGTTGCCGGGGGGCCCTGTTGTTGCCAAACAGTGACGGTTGCCATCAGATGGGAGCCTTCCGCAGACCAGAGGTGGTAACAGACTCGGCTCTCTCCTCTCTCCCCAGGCTCAGCTGCACAAGAGGCCAGAGGCCGACAGTCCCAGCGAGGCCTCAGGCTGGGCCCCCCAGCCCAAGACCCCCAAGTCCCCCTTCCAGCTGGGCAGTCGCGTGCTGCCCTCCAGCATGGAGAAGGATGACAGGTGAGGGGTCTTGGGGATGAGGCCTCCACCCTGGACTCAGGATACAATTCTGGGAGGTGCTTGTCTGGGTCTTAGAGCTGGATGCAAAGGGGAGTTGCAGCTGTGTGTTCCCCTCTAGCAGCAGAACTTTGTTCACATGAACTCTCGGCAGCCTGAGATCTAAAAACACACGCCGGGGTGGGGGGAAGAAGACCAGGAATCAGGCCGGCCGGCCTTGCCCTTCCCCCACCCCCCTCCACGTCCCACATGGAAATCCAGAGCTGTGTTGTGGGAAGACTACTGACCTAGTCCAGCCGAGCTGCTTGGCCTGGGGGCGGCGGGGGGGGTCACTCTGCTTCTCTGGGCCTCAGTCTCCTTGTCTGCAAAATGGGTTGACTCATCATTCTAACCTTCCAGGGTGGTCATGAGGACAAAAGGAGAAAGTGTGTGCAGCGCTGGCTTGCAGACGTGTTCGAGAAAGGATAGTGGATTCTGGGGCACGCGGGTGGCTCAGTCAGTTGAGCGTCCGATTCTTGATTTCAGCCCAAGTCACGATCTCAGGGTCTTGAGATCGAGCCCTGCATCGGGCTTTTCTTACCGCAAGTTAACACATAAAAGTGAAGGATTATTCACACTAAGTTGTAATGTTGTAAGTGCTGCGGCAGAGCGGGGTTTGGCAAGCTGTAGCCCACGGGCCAAGTTCCGCCCACCGTCTGTTTGTGTAAATAAAGCTTCATTGGCACCCAACCATACCCATTCCTCTCCGTATAGGGCTGCTCCCCTGTTAGGGCTGTGGGGTTGACTAGTTGTAGCAGGCACCCCAGGACCCACAAAGTCAAAAAAGATGGCAGCGTGAGGGGTTCCCAGGCTTAAGTCACAGCACGTGCAAAGGCCTGGGGGCCTGACATCACAGGGGGTCTTGTAGGCAGAGCCTAGTAGCAGAGCACGGAGCGGGCTGTGGGAAGCAGAAGGACACAAGAGGTTAAGAGAAACCAGGGCCATAGCTGAGACGGTGCCTCTCGTGCTCTGGAGATACCAGAATTGCAGGGTGGCTCTGGAGTCAGCCGGGCGCTCCAGTGTTTCTCCGGGGCTAGAGGAGCCCCCGTACCAGGGTCTCAGAGGAACCTCCTGGAGGCCTGGTCTGGTGCCCCTGCCATCGGGTGAGGCTTGCCTGGGGCACCCCATAGCCCTGTCTGCCCAGGGGACCTCTCCTTCTTTGCACACCCCCCATCCCACCCCAGCTGGTCAGCAACTGTTCCCTGAGCCCTCTAGGGGTTGGGGTCAGGAACTTTCTCTGTGATCAAACATAGGTTGGATCTTGTGAGTACTTGTGTTTGGTTATAAAGTAGGATATGCTCCAGTCCCATCCATGTTGATGTAAAAGTTGGGTATTCGTCCTTTCTGACGGCTGAGTAACATTCCATTGTATATATGGACCACATCTTCTTTATCCATTCATCTGTTGAAGGGCATCTCGGCTCTTTCGACGGTTTGGCTATTGCGGACATTGCTGCTATGAACATTGGGGTGCATGTGGCCCTTCTTTTCACTACATCTGTATCTTCGGGGTAAATGCCCAGGAGTGCAATTGCTGGGTCACAGGGCAGCTCTGTTTTTTAATTTTTTGAGGCACCTCCACACTGTTTTCCAAAGTGGCTGTACCAACTTGCATTCCCACCAACAGTTTAAGAGGGTTCCCCTTTCTCCACAGCCTCTCCAGCATTTGTTGTTTCTTGCCTTGTCAATTTTTGCCATTCTAACAAGACTATGCTAAGTGAAATAAGTCAAGCAGAGAAAGTCAATTATCATATGGTTTCACATATGGAACATAAGGAATAGCATGGAGGACATTAGGAGAAGGAAGGGAAAAATGAAGGGGGGGGAAATGGGAGGGGGAGACAAACCATGAGAGACTATGGACTCCAAGCAACAAACTGAAGGTTTTAGAGGGGAGGGGCTAGGGGGATGGGTTAGCTCGGTGATGGGTATTAAGGAGGGCACGTATTTCATGGAGCACTGGGTATTATATGCAAACAATGAATCATGGAACACTACATCAAAATCTAATGATGTACTCTATGGTGATAACATAATAAAATTAAATTAAAAAAAAATAAAGTAGTATATACTCACCATAGAAATTTGGGAAAATATAGGGGCACCTGGGTGGCCCAGTCATTAAGCGTCTGCCTTCGGCTCAAGTCATGATCCCAGAATCCTGGGATCGAGCCCTGCATCGGGCTCCCTGCTCTGTGGGAAGCCTGCTTCTCCCTCTCCCACTTCCCCTGCTTGTGTTCCCTCTCTTGCTGTGTCTCTCTCTGTCAAATAAATAAATAAAATCTTAAAAAAATTTTGGAAAATATAAAAAGAATATAAAGCAGAAAACAAAGTCACCCATGATCCCACCCCCCAAAGACCACCAGTGTGACATCGGGCCATCTCTCCTTCCGTTTTGATTTTTAAAATGTAGTTGAGATCACAACATACATGTAGCTGCTTTTCCTGTTACATGTTTCATGTGGGCCATTTTCCCAAGGCCTTTACACACACTTCATAAAAACGATCTTTTTCTTGAAAAGAGTTGGGAAGAGTCACGACTTTATGGCTTTTGTTAAGATGGTATGGTCTTGCTACAAGCACTTCTGAGAACACAGCAAAGTCCATGAAGAAAGTGAAAACTAAAATACTCGGGAGTGTCATGATTGACATGGTGGCTGCTCGAATATATTCACTTTGAGAAGATTCACTGACCTGCACACTTATGGTTTGAGTAGTTTTCTGCATGTGTGTTCTTCACTTTAAAAAAGTTAAACCTTACCTCCCCCAAACGGTCATGTGTTACTGTTTGGTAAACATAAGGCATCTATCTGTGTCTCATGGACATCGTGTTAGTGTTCTCCAAAGAAACAGACCCAACAGGATGTGTGTATACACAGACACACACACAGCAGGGGGAGGAAGGGAGGGAGAGAGAGAGAGAGAAGAGGGAGAGAGAGTTAGAGATTGAGATTGATTTTAAGGAACTGGCTCCCCCAGTCGTGGGTAGTACCACCAAGTGCAAAATTTGAAGGGCAGGCCGGTAGGCTAGAGACTCAGGGAAGAACCAGTATTGTAGTTTGAGTCCCCAAAGCAGTCTGTGATCAGAATTCCCTCTTCTTCTGGGGAGGTCAGTCTTTTTCTATTAAGGTCTTCAACTGATTGGATGAGGCCCACCCCTAATAAGGAGGGTAATCTGCTTTACTGAAAGCCGACTGATTTAAATACTAATTTCGTCTTTAAAAATGCCTTCACAGAACCATCTAGAACAATGTTCAACCACATATCTAGGTACCATGGCCTAGCCGAGTTGACACATACAATTACCCATCATAGGCATTTACCTGGGTTGAGAACCAGAAGGATGGAGCCATGCCTGGGGTGACGGATGGACGGAGATAATTCATGTGTCGGTGTGACTTCACAGCTGCAGATTATTTCATAGAATGGGCGTACCGTGATTCATTTATGTTTCCTTGTTGTTGGGTGTTTGTTTAATTCCTGTTTCTTGCTCATTGATCACATTAACATGGCATCTTTACCACCTGCAAGTGCCCAGCTCAGCATCACCTGGGCACTGAGGATGCAGGCTCGGCTACCTCACAGCCCTGCCTGCAAGGAGCGCTCAGGCTGGCTCGCAGTTGACTCTTACTGGCTTTGTGGTTTCAGGTCGGAAGAGCCCTCTCCCCAGTGGTTAAAGGAGCTAAAATCCAAGAAGAGGCAAAGCCTGTATGAGAACCAAGCTTGAGCAGGTATGAAGTGGGGACTCAGTGAGGAACCTGGACCAGGAGGCAAAGGGTCAGAGACTCAAGGTGTTGTATCCTAGGAGAGAGAAGGGAAAACAGGTGCGGGTGTTCTGGGTTCCAATAAAGAGGGTAGTGCTGATCTGTTTCCTCTTAGGGGAAAAAAACCCAGGTAGGCAGCCTGGTCGAGGAGCCAGATAACTTAGGCTCTGGGCTCACACACTTCTCACTGCATCTCAGAACCTTTTTATGGAGTGGAAAGCAGGACATCAGGGGTTAGCTTAATCTGAAATGTCTCCAATTTTTACATTCATATACAACCTGTATGATTAAAATTTAACCTGAAAAAAAAGGATTTTAAAAAAGTCAAATGATTAAATATGCCCTGGTGTGGGTCCCAAATGACCTCATATCTCAGGGGAACTTCAGGTTCCCCATCTGTAAAATGGGTAACAGCGCCCATGTCACTGAGGGGTCCCCGGGGCTCACTGAGGAGGCACTAAAGTGCTAGCGGTCAGTCCTAGGTGTAGGAGCATATGGCTCATGCCCCCTGAAAGCTGGCTCTGATGTGAGCAGCCCAGGAGACCCGCCAGCCCCTTACCCGGAGACCTCAGATGCAGAAAACACTGACCACAAAGCGTTTTCATGACCTACGTAGTGGCAAAACCTGACCTGTGTGGATGTCTGTACGTTACACTGCGGGTATATTATGGGGGCGTTTCATAATATGTATGGGTGCACATATGCGTGTGTATCTGTGTATATAATGACCCCCCCCAAATTCTAAATCCCCGGGTAATCTGTGCTCAAGGGTTTCGGATAAGGAATGGGGTCCTGTGTTGATTTTTGTGTGTAGTGCGCTCTACATGTGGTATGTCTCTGAACCTCCCAGCCATCCATTTGAGGAAACAGGCCGGAACCCTCACCTGACCCTAAACTTCACGTGGGTTCTACTGCGCCTGGCCACCTGCCACCTTCCTCACCCCACTCCCGAAAAAAAAAAAAAAAAAAAAAAAGTAACCTATCCTGGCTATGGGCCTGTGGGGATGGGGGGATGGCCATCTTGGAGAATACCAGACAAGATTTAAAGGCTTGATGGCCCAGACACCCAGGGTCCCATGTTCCTCTTG